CCGCGGGGCCGCTGGACGGGGCCCTGTCCGAGTCCCGCTCCCGGTAGATTTTGTAGAGCCGGGGGCCCAGGACGCAGCTCAGCAGCTTCGCCATGGCCCCGGCGAGGGCCGCTGCTCTTCCAGCAGCAGGTCCCCCGGCGGCCCCGCCTCCCCTGTCCCGAGGGGCTGCGTGCCCGTGACGTCAGCACGCACCGGCCCCGCCCCCTGGCGCGGCGAGGGCCCGTCCGCGCTTCCCGAGAAGGGCTTCGTGCGCTCTGACCTACGGGTGCAGCGAGGGTCAGAAATTAGCTGAAGGCGTTTGCGGCGCGGACAGAAAGTGACCAGGCGTGGGGCCGGCGTGTTTTTCTATCCCTCAGTGTCTCTGACTCCGGAGCAGCAGTGGAAACGAGGGGTAAGATTAGGAGCACTTGACAGCCACAGAAAAGAGACGGTGTCTAGGAATATATTTAATAAAATAAATGCAAAGTTTTTTGAAGAAAGCTGTGACAAACTTATTCAAAGAGTTAAACTGGGGCCGCCCCGTGGTTCAAGTCCCAGACCTGGCGGCTTGCTTTCTCTCTCTCTCTCTCTCGCCCTGTCCCTCTCTGGTCAAATTAAAATAAATAAATAAAGTTAAATAAAATAATTAAAAAAAAAAAGAAAAAGAAAATGAATGGGGCCAGCAGGTGGTGTGGATTTTAAAGTGGTTGGATCCCAGCTGGCTGACTTTTCAGTTGGAGTCCTGGATCTGGGGTCTTGAAAAACATACAGGGCATGTTGTCCATGTGTGTCTCAAATTGGAAGAGAATTAAGGGACTGTAGCGTGGCCATCCTCCCTGGTGGGTGATTTCTTTCCCTCTCTCCAGTAAGGGTACATCCCCTATAGCTGAGAGACAGAGAGAGAGACAGGGAGGAAGGAAGGAAAATGTGTGAATTATCCCTTTTAAGCATGGACTAACCTCAAAACCACCCTGTCAAGCTAAAAACAGAAAGTCACAGGAGAATACATACAACATGATACTGTCATATTAAATTCGAAATACGTAAAATTTAATGATAAAGCAAGTGGAACAAATTCAAAATAGTGGATCTTTGCCTGAAATGGTTGATACTCTATTTCTTTTTCTTTTTTCTTTTTTTTACAAGAACACATCCATTTTTATTTATTTACTTTTCATTATTTTAAATCCTTGAAGCATTACGCGGATTCTGTGTCTGCCGGCCTTAGCAGGAAGGTTGTTTTGAAATTTGGCTCCAACCATGGCACTGTTTCCATGGGTACAAGTAACCTTTTCTCAGGTTACTCTGGTTTTATTTGGTTTGCCACCAGGAGTCACTGTGTTGTTTTCTGCTTTGTACACATAAGCACACCACTTGCCTAAATAGAATTGTTTCATTTTGGGCGTAAACATCTTCATTATTTTTTTAGAGTTTTTTTTTTTTTTTTTTTTTTAGAGATTTTTTGTTATAGCATACGTGCACTCACCAGAGAAAGAGAGATAGAAAACAAGAAATAACACCCCCACATACACCCGAGGGGATGGCCTCACCGCAATTCCTTTTCTTCCATTTTCCTCTTGGGATTTTGGGCACACACGTGCACATGCACACCGGCGTGAGTTTTAAGCCACCAGGTCCGGGACTCAAACCTGGGATTCAAACTGATCAACTACCTGGGAGTTCAGCGATGTAACCATTACGCCACCTGCTGGTCCCAACACGTTCGTTTTTAAGAAAATCTCTCAGGGGACCAGCAGTTGGCATAATGGCTATGTTGCTGGACTCCCATGTAGTCAACCATGGTTCAAGTCCTGAACCTGGTGGCTTAAACACATACTGGGTGCATGTGCATACGTGCCCAAGATCCTGAGAGGAGAATGGATTGCGACGTGGCCATCCTCTGAGGGGGTGATTTCTTGCTTTCTGTCTCTCTCCATCTTTCTGGCGAGTACACGTGCCCTATAGCAAAAACCTCTCAAAAAAGAAAGAAAAAAAAAAAAAAGAAAAGAAAAGCTCTGCTCCCTTTGGTTCCTGAGACTCTGCTTAAGGCCAGCAAAAATGGCATTGGACCACAGCCTTCCAGACACAGTTACCCTTTTTTTTTTTGGAGAAGTTTTCGCTCTAGGACGCGTGCGCCAGACAGAGAGAGACATAGAGACAGAAAGTGAGAAATCACCTTCTGGGGGGAAGGTCACGCCATAATCCCTTCTCCTCTCGGGATCTTGGGCACGCACACACACGTGCCCAGCGTGAGTTTTAAGCCACCGGGTCTGGGACGCGAACCGCGGTCGACTACGTGGGAGTCCAGCAACATAGCCATTACGCTAACTGCTGGTTCCCACAGTTGTCCTTTTTTAAAAAAAAAAATTATTTATTTATTATCATAATTTTTCAATTTTGACCAGAGCGAAACAGAGAAAGAGAGAGAGCAAGCCCCAGGCCTGGGTTTCAACTGCGGTCAGCCATGTGGGAGCCCAGTGTCTTTAACCTCCACACCACCTGCCGGCACCAATATTTGATTTCTTAATATGAAAGGAAACATCAACTCTGGTTCAAGTCCTAGACATGGTGACTTGTTTTCTCGCTTTCTCTCTCTTGCTCTCTGGTCAAATTTTTATTTCTCGGGATCAGCAGTTGGCATAATGGCTATGTCACTGGACTCCCATGTAGTTGACCGTGGTTCGAGTCCCGGACCTGGTGGGTTAAACTCACACCTGGGCATGTGCGTGCATGCCCAGGGTCCTGCGAGGAGACTAGAGGCGCAGGGATTGCGGCGTGGCCATCCCCCCTGGGGAGTGATTTCTCGCTTTCTGTCTCTCTCTCTCTCTCTCTGTCTTTGAAAGAAATCTCCGATTTCCTTCACTGCGAGATCCAACCTTGTTGGAGTCACTGTGGTTTGTTCATTCTCTTTGCTGTCCGGTATTCCATTGTGTGGAAATGCCAGAGTTTATCCGTTTACAGTTTTACATCATATATAGTCTTTGGTATGTGTAGAATATTTCATTAAAATAATTTAAAAAAATAAATTACACAGTGGGCCAGCTGGTGGGGTGGTGGGGTGGTGGCTGGATCCCACATGGCCGACTGCGTGGTTCAAGTCCTTGACCCAGCAGCCTGAGAAACACACTAGGCGTGTGTGTGCGTGTGTGTGTGCGTGTGTGTGTGTGTGTGTGTGTGTGTGTGTGTCTGTGTACCCAAAGTCCCGAAAGGGAGAAATGGAGAAGGAATTGCAGCATGACTATCCCCGTGGGGGGGTGCTTTCTAAGTTATCTCTTTCTCTGGTGAGCACACCCTCTGGCAAATAAATAAACAGCATATTAAAAACAGTTGAACTGTGACTGGAAGGTGACATAGTGGCTGGGACGCTGGATTTTCACATGGCCACTCACGGTTTGAGTCCTGGACCTGGTGACTTCCTCTCTCACTTTCTCTCTGTCTTTCTGGTCAAATTCACTTACCTTTTTTTTGTTGTTGTTGCTATAGGGCACTTGTGCTCACCAGAGAGAGAGAAAGGGAGAAATCGCCCCCCAGAGGGATGGCCATGCCACAATCCTTTCTTCTCCACTCTCTCCTGGGATTTTGGGCACCCACACACATGCGCCTGGGACGAGTTTCAAGTTACTAGGTCTGGGACTCAAACCACGGTCGACTATGTGGGAGTCCAGTAACCCGACTATTGTGCCATCTGCTGGTCCCTCTGCTCAAATTTTTAAAAAAATAATTATTTCTTTTATTTTTTATTTATTCATTCTTTTATTTTTTAATTTGACCAGAGAGAGACAGAGGGTGAGAGTGAGAAAGAGGAAGTGAGAAAGCAAGCCACCAGATTCAGGACTCAAACTCTGGTTGGCCATGTGGGAGTGTCCAGCACCTTAACCACCACGCCACATGCTAGTCTCCACTAGTCAAATTTTTTAAAAGATCATAATAATAAATAAATAAATAATAATTTTGGGGGGGGACAGGTTTTCGCTATAGGGTGCGTGCGCTCGCCTGAAAGACAGAGAGACAGAAAGCAGGAAATCACCCCCCAAGGGAGATAGCCATTCCACAATCCCTTCTCCTCCATTCTCCTCTCAGGATCTTGGGCACACATGCACACGCACCTGGGGTGAGTTTAAGCCACTGGGTCCGGAACTTGAACCTCAGTGACTACATGGGAGTCCAGTGACAGAGCCATTATGCCAACTGCTGGTCCCATTTCTTCTATTTATTTATTTATTTATTTATTTATTTGGAGAGGTTTTCTCTATAGGGCACATGCCCTCGCCAGACAGACAGAGAGAAACATAGAGACAGAAAGTGAGAAATCACCCCCCAGGGGGGATGGTCACGCCGCAATACCTTCTC